CTTCTTTTTAAAATAGCAGTTATAAAATGGAAAATAGTAAATGTGTATATATATTTTGTAATCACAAAATATGTACAGATATCTACATACCTTTCTAGTACTGGTATTATATCTGCTAGTACCTCGGGCTATAGTTTGCTTTATTCTAATATCATCAATAATGGATGCCAGTAGAGATGATAATATAAAATGTAAAAAACCAATCTCATATTTTTGTATACAAAGGAAAATTAATCGATAGGTAGAATTGCGCAATAGCCTGTAAATATAATAAGAAATAAAATATTTTGTAGTAAAATAAATAAATATAAAGATTTATTTATTTAATTTATTGTAAAATAATAATAATAAGAATCATAGCTACAGGGTGTGGTAACTTAATGAAGTGGTGAAGTTGTTATACCCCAAGCAGCACATCCAGAGTTCGAATCCTACTGTTGACAAAATTCAAAATTTCTGTTGTAGAATAGTTACTATAATAATAAGTTAGATTGCTAATCTGTAACCAAGATCGTACCAGATATTTAATATATCTGAAAGGATTATCAGATATTTGTGCAATATATAAGTTACATGAAAGTATGCAAGCTAGTATTAGTTGGTACAAACCCACAATAAGTTTTAATGATCTGTGTAAAGTCAAGAAATTAAAGTTACAGATACCTGCTTGGCAAGACCTAAGTAGAGAGGTAGCACAAATCTTCGATAGTACTATATAAAGAATTATTATTAGAAGAACTAGAAAACAAATAAGACTAAGATATATAGCAAAGGCATCATACCAACCAGGCCACCAAGGCTAGAAGAAAAGGATCTATTTAGTTGCAATATTAGAGAACTGGTAACTTTCAGGTAAAAGTTCTCCCTGGGCCATCTGGATTGGGAGTTTGGACTAGCTAGGTTAAACTAAAAAAACTGAACAAATTGAGTATATAGATAGGCACTTCACCAACCAGGCTACTAGAATCAAAAGAAAAAGATCTGCTTAATTGTAGTTACCAGAAAACTGGTAACTTTCAGGTAAAAGTCTCTCTCGGGCTATCTGGATTGATAGTTTAGGATTTGGTAAATATTTTTAATAGTTTGTAAAGTTGTACTGGGATTTGGGTGAACTCTACAAGGGCAGAAGTAGATAACAGTAGCGGCTTTAGCTTGCAAATACTTGTCCTCGGACTCAGCATAAGTTACTAAAATCTAGATTAACTAGATTGTGAGTATAGATAGCTCTAGCAGGTTTATCCTAAGAATAAAATTGTTCTAAGGTCATAACAAATATTAGTTTAAGATTATGTACTGTATATAGAAATATATGTATGGTTGATGTGAGACTAATACTGTAAAAGTAATCTGTTAAATATAAATAAAAGTACTGACCAAAGAGGTCATCTTAATACTGAAAAAAAAAAGAATCATAGAGCTACTATTTATCTTTGAATTGTTCTAATAATTTCAACACTATATTTGATATTAAATACAAATAATATATAAAATATTCTCCTGCATTAAATTAAATATGTCTTAATAAAAAAATTATTGCATTGCTTATACAATTCACTAAGAATAAACTTACCAAATAATTAGACTTGAAAGAACTTTATTGCTATGTATATATAACAACTACATGCTTAGTATAAGTGTATAAAATTCTTTTTTATCTTTGTTTACAATCTGTCAAAAAAAGACAATATTTTTATATAGATTATATTATACTCATTAAAACTAATTTGCCCTAAGTAATATCACTTCTATATATGATTTTTATAGAAATATAAGATTAAAATTAGATTTTAGTTAGGATAAGGTTTTTTTAGATACTGAACATTTTTTACTTATTATATAAGATACTAATTATCTAAGCCATTTTTGAAAAAATAGATAAAATCACTCTAGAGCAAATTAAAGACTATATCTGATTTTAAATTATAGAAATAAAGATACTTGCAAATGAACTATCACAAACATTATATATTCTGCAGAGAAGATCAAGGAACTGATTCATTGGAACATGAACTGGTGTAGATATTAGCAAACTATAAGAGCTTTATATTAAGAACTTGCAGACAATGATTATTAATGATATTGTTATTTTTGGTTGTTCGTACCTTACTAAGAAGATAATATATTTAGGAATATTAAAAACAAAATTAAAAAGGCAATAATGTAATCTTCAGAAACTGGAGAAAATTCAAATTGAGGCTGATTATTTGATACATACTTTTTTAATATTTATAATCAAAACCAAATTAATTCAAGTAAATAGCATAAGTTAAAAAATATTAAAATATTTTTCATTTGTATCTTCATCAATTGTATCAAATAATCGATCCAACAAGAAATTTAATAATCTAATTAATCTTAATGAAATTGACTTCCAATAAGCAAATGAGTTGTTTTGCAAACTGTATTTGTCGCAAGACAATTAGCAGCAGATTGGACAACAGATGATCTATGATCAAAGGTTCCATCTAGAATACTAAGATACAACTTTTGTATATTTTCAAAAAGTTGATGAAATATGGTTAGAAACTACATGCATAACTGGAATAATGCATCAAATATTGTGAGCTATAAAGAAGAAATTAAAAAGTTAAAGTGATGTGACTACATAAAATTTTTTAGTTAAATAATAATATTTACCAAAAGTTCTTTATTTTCAGATAGATTTAAGAAAGTTATATTAAAATGAGAAAGTTAGTGTGAAGGTACCTCTCTTTGTAACTCTGGTTTGTTAATTGTTTTTCCAAGTAGATTAGAAAATGTTAAAATAATATCAGGCAAAATAAGAGTTGATTTTAGTTACTGAAAATAACATAAAGATTAATAACTGAATAAAGAACAGAGGCCTTTCTTTAACAATAACTAACCATGAGCAAAGTTAATAAAGCAGAGAACTATAGTTGTAAGTTCTGAGTAAACAGTATCTCAGATTGTTAGATAAAAATTTTTACAAAAGAAACCTAACCTATTTTGTACTACTAACTTTGAACTGCAGCAAGGAATTAATATATGTACACCATTTATAAATTGGATATTGTTCTGTCAAGCTGATTTCTTGATTTGTATTATTAGTTTTCTCTGTGACCAGAAATATGAACAATGTGAAACATGAACATGATTCACATCCTTTATATTGCATTTAGCTATTTTTATTTTGTTTCTATTTTTGATTATTGTTTTAGTGTTTATTGTTTTGATAAAAATTTTTTTTACATGATTATTTTATAAAATTTTTTATATATAAAGGTATAAAAAATTTCTTAGTAGACTTCATAGTAGAGATAGGGAAGTTTGGTTTGGTTTGGTTTGGTTTGATTAAACTTTGATATATGTAGTTAAAACCAAATCAACCAAAATATTAAGTTTTAAATAACTAGTTTAGTTTATATAAACCAAATAAATATTATATTTTTTATGTACTTCTTACATAAATATGTATAAATATGCATGAATATATATAAATATGCATAATTATATATAATTATGCATGTATATGCATGTTTATATAAGGGTGTATACAAAATATGTAAGAAGTATATAAAAAATACAATATTTATAATTTATATATAAACTGCATTAAAACTAAAACTTGGTTTTAAAAAAACTAACCCCTTAAACCAAGTTTAAACTGGTTTTTTTAGAAACTTCCCCATCCCTACTTCATAGCTCAAATATACTTTTATATTAGAAAAGAAATAAAATATTTTTAAATATAATTTTTGTATTAATAAAAAAATTTAAAACTTTACTTTATAAATATTATTTTCTTGCAAGCCAAAAGAATTTAAATACTTTTAACCTAAAGAAGATACAGTCAGACCTCCCTAAATATAATCTCTATAAATACAATATCTCTCTAAATACACATTTTTGTTTTGGCTATATGAAATCATTAGTGCTAAATGCACATTCTATATTCTGCAAATGCATGTTCACTCAAAAGATTTTTTATATCATACTAACCTCTCTAAGTGCACGTAGCCAATCAGAAGTTAGTATTTAAGTTTGTTATACAAGTCTGCAGATCAAATATTAAAAGCTGCAATTTGATTAGCTCTCTCTAAATGCAAACCTCCCTAAATACATGTTTTAGGCTAGTCTGTATATATTGCATTTATGGAGATTTGACTGTATGAAGAAAAGATTTAAAATTATACAGATAAGTATATATTTATATAATTTTAATTGTTATGAAATTTTTTTTTTAGTATGTCCTGCTATTGTTTTATTAAGATATAAACCAAGCAAAAATTACAAGAATTCTTAACTATAGTTATTATCTCTTTAACCACAACAAGTAACTCATTCAATTTAAAAGCCCAGATACAATATCACCTAGTGGCCGTTCACCTTTCTCCAGGCCTCTAACTTCCTAGAGGCATGAATCTTTCGATTATTGGCCAGTACTACATGCTATATTAGCATTATCTTTTTTTTTACAAAAATAAAATACAAACACAAATTCAAAAAGTAAAAAGAAAAAAAGAGGTGATACCTTGACGTCCAAATTCGATCTATTTAAACAAATAAAACCAAAAGAAAAACATATAAAAGAAAAAATAAAACAAAAGAAAAGAAAACAAAAATAGCACTATTAAACCTATATTGAATTGTAAAAATTATATAGTACTACTAAATAATCTAGTTTAAACTCTATACTAGTTATTTATGTCTATATTAGAATATATAACATATCTATTCTTGAGTAGAGATCCAAGTTTGAAATTTCTTTTGTGATCCCATCAGGCTTTTAGCACAGTATCTTACAATGTATTCTTATGCTTATACTTGTTTTCTAAACAAAGTTAGTGACATAGAGATCTTGGTATAAACACCATAACCTCTTGAAAAAAATGATTAGATGTTTTTTATCCCAAAGTAGACATGTACTTCTGTATATAACTTTCTTTTTTTGATAGCAATTGTTGTTGTTGATCCTTTGATAAAGTATACCAGATTTTTCACTTTTTGGTAAAATTTTGTAAAGAACAAAGAGTAGAGTTTTGGTAGAGAGTTTCAGTTTGCAGGTAACCTTAAACTTCGATAGAAAGTGTGTTGAAAATTTGCTTGTTGCTTCTCTTAAGATCAACTAACTTTCACTTCGTTAGCAGAAGCTATGCTTCTATTAAAATTTTTTGTACAAAGTACTATCTTCTGCCAGTTATCTTGTACAAAAATGCTTTTAGCTTGCTTGCTGAATATACAAAAAGGTCTAAAAAAATAACCAGAAAGTCTTGATCTCTATAAAAACTATTACTTGTAGTTGTCTCTTCTACTTTTTTCATCTCATCTACTTTTTCTAACAAGTTTTCTATTTTTGTTAGTTGTAAGTTTGGTACAAATGATCATCAGGAAGAGTTTGCAAAGACTAATTTTTATGAAATTTTTAATTTATAAATATTATAAAATAGAATTTTATATTTTACCACATATGCGGATTATCGCAAGTCCCTAGATCCATATAATCATGTGATACTTGTCTATAAATACCAAATAACGATAAAAATTTTTTTTAATACCTTATTATTTTGACAATTCAACAAATGATTTCTAATTCGCAAACCCTACTAAATTAGGCTACACCATACAATGCTCTATATAAAAAACAAGCCTGAGGCTTGTTCACAGCTTATATACTAAAAAAGCCTGAAATTTACGTCAAATAGAAGAAAAGTGTGAGCTTACTAATTCTAATTCTGTAAACAAGAATTGCGTTGTTGTTAATAATAAGTTCTAACTATTGATCTTTTAGGTTTTCCAGAAGGAGTATATGGTCCTATTTATTCCTCTAGTTCTCCAGAAAAATATGTGCTTTCATGTGTTGCTAGTTCTACAGAAGACAAATATGTATCTAACGTTTCTGGTTCTTTGGCAGAAGAATATGCGTTTATTGGTGCTGGTTCTTCAGAAGAAGAATATGTGTTTAATATAGCTGGTTCTCCAGTAAGAGAATATGTGCTTAACTTAGCTAGTTCTCTAGTAGGAGAATATGTGTCTAATGTCGCTGAAGGAGAATATATATCTAATATTGCTAGTTCTTTAGAAGAAGACATGTCTGTTGTCACGAGTTTTTTAGAAGAATATGTGTTTACTGCTGCCAGTTCTTCAGAATACGTGTCTGTTACTGTTGGTTCTCCAGAAGAAGAATGTGTGTCTGATATTGCTGTTCTTTAGAAGAATACATATTTGACATTGCTGGTTCTTTAGAAGGAGAATATGTGTCTTCTATCACTGGTTTCCCAGATAAAAAATATGTGTCTAATGCTTCTGGTCTACTAGAAGAATCCTTACCATCCTCTATGATAGAAACAGGTACATTTTATCTTATTATTTGAAGCGATATTTATACTTTATGGTACTATATTTATAACTATATATTCTTTATTAGAGAATCATACATTCCTTATTCGAAAAAATGAATATTCTGCTTTATACTCTGGAAAAAGATTTACATCATGAGAAATCTGTGAAAATTTTATTAATAATTGGGCTAAAAGACGTGGTTTTTATTTAGTTAAAGATCGAGTTACTTGTGAGGATGGTATTATTCGCTGATGAACTTATTTATGCAATCACAGTAGGTCATATGAATCTACTTCGGAGAAAGATACTAGTATACAAAAAACTCGATGCCAATTTTTGATTAATATATCTTGTTCCAAGACCAACAATTCTGATGAGACTATAATTGTTAATAAAATAGTTAACGAACATAATCATCTATTAAATCGTAATGCAATTGAATTTAGGGATAAAAAAAAATTTACAGACGAGATGATTGA